CAGTAGTATTTCCTCCCCTTTCCCTCCCGCCTGCCTCGGCAAACTAGCCGTAAGTTAACATGTGAGCCGACACGTCTTGCGAGAAAACACCTTCATCTCGGTTCAGGCCGCGGGAGATAGAATCAAATCTCTTGAGGGAGCCTTCTCCACCTCTTGGTTCTTTTCATTCGAGGAGCGCCGCCTCGAGGTCAGAAAGGCCGACCGCGAAGGACCGGCGGCTCTCCCACTTGGGGGGGGGCTTGGGAGGGGGGGGCAGGGATATGGCCATTTCTGACGTTCCCCTCTGCGGCGGCTCCTTCTTCCACGTCAGCCCTGTCGGTCCTGGGCTGCATGAACTCGTGGGGTTGCCACCCGAGGAGGCAACCAGGAGAAAAGTGTAGCCCAGATGTTGTGGATGATGGGTTCTGGAGACTCGGCCAAAGGGGCGGAGTCGGCACCCAGGTCTGGGACAGGACGAGCAGCTTCCTTCTGAATTCCTATCTATGTTCCTTTTTTCTTTCCTTTTTAAATTAAAAAAGTTTTACATTTTTAAAATTTTAACCTGTTCTGTTGTTCTTGCCGGTGAATTCACAGCAATTTGCCTCTTAAAATGTGTTTAAAACATGGTTCTCAATCTCTGTAAGTTACCAACCTCATTGCCAAACGCCCTGAACCCCACCATGGTAGAAAGAAAAAGCCCATTTTTTTCCCCAGAGAAGGGCCTCTATGCATTGCCAGGCTTTCTATCATCTTATTTAACATTTATGGCAAATAAAGGCCTTTCAGAGACTCCCCGGTTCACAACTCCCATCCAGCCCCTTAGAAGTAACTAGGTATTGCCCATTATACCCAAGTCACCAGGGTGTTACTGATGAGGCCTGAAATGTAATTTTGCCGGTACTAGTTACTCTGCTCAGGACCTGGAAAGTAACTAGTTACTTCCAGGCCTTGATGGTAACTAGTTACTTCCAAGTTTGTCTGCAGCACTTGTGTCTCAGATTAGTGCCGGTCTCCCTGCATCAGTGCCATGGGCAAAACAAAGGCCACAACAGTGAAAATTGGTCCCTTAAGCCAAAGCAAATGCCGGGCAAACAAACACACCCCCGACAACGCCGACCTTGAACCAGTTAATGCCCCTCAAACTCCTTCCAGCAAATTCTTCATTGCCCTTCCCAGGACAGGAGCCAAAACAAGCCGGGACCCACTGGCGTCTGTGGTTTCCAGTCATGCAGTTTTTCTACGGGTGGGGAGCGGCCCAGCTGCTCCTTGCTGGCATCCCACAAGGGCAACGGGTTCAGCTGGTGGGCCAGCTTGCGGACGCTTCTCCCCCAGAACGGGATCTAGGAGAAAATCATCTCAGAACAGCCGGGAGGGGACCCTCGGGATCATTCGGGTTCAGCTGGTGGGCCAGCTTGCGGACGCTTCTCCCTCAGAACGGGATCTAGGAGGAAATCATCTCAGAACAGCCGGGAGGGGGGACCCTCGGGATCATCCAGTCCAGCCCCTATATCAAGGAGGCCCAGGGAAGGATTTGAACTCCCAACCTCCGGGCGTGGTGCCCATCAGCGGAGGCGGTGGCCACCTTTGGGAAGCCGAAAGGTGGTGGGCCAGCTTGCGGACGCTTCTCCCTCAGAACGGGATCTAGGAGGAAATCATCTCAGAACAGCCGGGAGGGGGGACCCTCGGGATCATCCAGTCCAGCCCCTATATCAAGGAGGCCCAGGGAAGGATTTGAACTCCCAACCTCCGGGCGTGGTGCCCATCAGCGGAGGCGGTGGCCACCTTTGGGAAGCCGAAAGGGTGGGTCCGGATCCGTTCGATTGATCCGTAAAAAGGTCTATGAAGCGGAGGGTCAAGGGTCGGTCACGGGATGCCCTTCCCTAGCTAAGCTTCCATCCCCGGAAGTGTTTCTTGTCATACTTGGGAAGGGCTTTTGAAAAAAATAAAATAAAACCTCCTCCTTGTTCAGTTAAAAAAAAAGGGGGGGGGAGGAACCTGAATCACGGCGAAGGTCATGAAAAAAAGGCAATTATGAAAACTTCTCTGCCGTGCTTCCTTCTTGGACTTTGGAGTCGTGAAAACTCCTCCTGGTGCAGAATCCCGACCCCGGCTGGAAAAGGTCACCCTAAAAAATGAGTCACAGAAGAGAGAGAGAGAGAGAGAGAGTCTCGGAGCGAAGCGGTCGGCCCTCCGACAAAGAACAAGGCCTGGCAGATGTCCTAAATCCTGCCTAATTGTTCGGACGCTTGCATGCTTCAAGCACGACTTGGCGGCATAATGGCAAGTGATTGCGGGCACCCGAGAGCCACTTCTCATTGTTCCTGGAGGTTACAAAAAAACGCCACGCAGAACAAATCGGTTTTAAGGCTCTGACCGGCTGCCGAGGAGCCTCCACGTTGTCCCTCTGCTCGTTTCCGACCCGGTACCTGAAGCTTGTCCGTAATACCCCATTCGCTCTTTTGGGGTTTTCCCCCTCCCCAACCCATAACGCTCAAAACACAGGATGGAGGATTTCCTTAAGGGTCCCTCTCTCCACCACCACCCCCAAAAAAAACCTCCTTACAAGGAATTACATAAAGATGTGAGAGTCTGGAGCCAAACCTGCAGCCAGGATCGGCCCATTTATTAATAGAAAATGTACCACTTCCTCACCATCCACAACCCGGGAGCTCGATAAATAAGAAGGAATACTTTACATCCAAGGGTTGTGTTTGTATGTTAAGTGCTTTTTGTTTTTAAGAGGGAAGGACGAGATTTATTTACACTGCAGAAAGGCGGCCATCCAGACAATTCGTCCTCTTTAACAATCTGGGTTTCCTTCATTTTTGGAGGAACCTCTACATAGCTATAATATTATCGAAAGGTGTGCGTGTGTCAGCTGCCTTCCGGGTTTTGTAATATCTGAAGCCGGAGTTTGAGAGGGAAAGCCATCCGGGAGCAGCTGACACACTCCCGTGAGGTCTTCCGTTTGTCCTCGGCAGCCACAAGGCCACCTATAAAATATATGGGCGGCGTCGGTCACACCCGCCTCGGTTAGGTGTCTTTTTACACAGCCGATCTGCGTCCCGGGTAAACACCTCCGTTGGTAGCCAAGTGGGCCAAAGGACCGATACAGTAGATCGCAGAGAGGGTCGGCAACGTGCAGCCCCGAGGCCTTAGTCCGGCCTCTACTAAAAATCCCTAATGCCTTCTAAATCCTTGGAGGAGAGAACAGAAATGGGTTGAGGGTGCCAGAGAGCACGGCTCATGCTGGGCTGTCGTGTCTCCGGTGAATGTGGGAGGCACGTATTTGAACACTCGTTCCATCCCTCCCAGTACAGAAACCCCACGGAGAAAAAGGAGTGTGTGTGTGTGTGTGTGTGAATCAGAAGATACAGGATGGATTTCTCTCTACCTGGGAGGATGTGCACGGCACAGACAGGAGACTCACCCGCTCGGGGTCTGAAACGGGGCCGTCAACAAGGGTCGGACCCAGGAAGAGCCTTTGAACGCCAACAGCCGCAGGATCCACCTCGGTGGGAAAAACCGTCTCGGAAACCCCGTGATCAGTCGTGTGAGTTTAAGCCGAGGCACCTGGAGGGAATCGGGGAGGGGAAGACTCCCCCCCCTCAAACCTCCCTTTGAGAGACAGCCGGTGCTTCGGGGGTGTCGGTTGGGTGAGTGTGCGGGACTCCCCCACTACAGCCGTTTCTTGATGAGCTTCTCCAGTTTCCGGATGCGTGACGACTCCTGCTCCGGCGTGGGGGCGCTCAGCGAGACGGCGCTGGCGCTCTCGGGCCCCGAGGGAGGGGCCGGGAGCCGCTGGCGAAAGAGCTCCAGCATGGCGCTCTGCTCGCTCCGCTTGAGCCCCTGTCGGAAAAAGAGGCAGAAGAGAAAGAGCCGAATCATCAGGAACAGGGAGGCCCGGCCACCGCCGGGAAACCCACGATGACAACAGCCTGTTTTTCAGGGACAACATAACCGTGCCGTGAGCTGCCCGGTGGGTGCTTAAAGGAACCAAGAGGCCAGACCTTGGCGTTTTTCTACGGAGCCCCTTGCCCCGCTCTGCCCTCTGGTATAACCCCCCCCAATTGAATGGGGGGGGGGAGTTTCCTCAGGATCTCCATCGCCCTGATCGATCCGCCAGAGCTACAAGGGGCTGACCAGAACCCTCCTCCGTACCGCTCCAATTCGTACCGCCACGGCTGACCCCCCCAACCCCAGTGGTCCCAAAGGGTACAGGGAGGGCTGCGGGTTTCCCCAGGAGGCTCAGCTGCTCCTTCCCGCCCCCCCACCTCTCCCGGGCGCCTCCTGACCTTCATGTCCAGGATCTTCTGGAAGGTGTCCGTGCTGCAGTCGGCCAGGAGCTTGATGTAGTTGTCCACAAACACGACGGCAGGTTCATGCGGGGCCATCACCACCTGCGGGAGGGAGAAGAGGCCTCGGTTGTGTGAGGAGGAGAGGCAGGCGGCTGGCCACCCCCCCCGGCCTCTCTGGGCATCAGGAAGGGAGTCACTCCAAAAAAAAAAAGCCCTTTGGGGCAGCTGGTGTTGGTTTTAGGTCCCTCTTTGGTGCTGGTTTGAGCACCGTGGACCATAAAAACGCTCAGGAATGCCTTCTGACTCCAACTCCCATCGTCCCCCCTCACCAGGACACTCAGGATGGGGAACTTCGGTTCCCATCATCCTTCACCACTCGCTTGGTCAAGATTTCCAGCCAGCCAGCCAGCCAGCCCTGCCCCTTTCGGGACACCCCCCCCTCCGATCCACTCCAAAACAGCCCCCCCCTGCACGTATTCTCTCCTCTCTTCTGAACCACCGTCAAACCTCCGTCCAACAGGGCATGGACCGGGTGGGTTCTCCTTTGGGGTCCCTTCTGGCGGCTAGATTTCGGGTGTGCCTGTCCTTAGGCAAATCCTCGGCTCCCTGCAGAAGCCACAAACCAAATCACCTGCGCCCGACCTGCTTAAGGTTAACAGGACCTCTCGCCACGAGGCCCAACCAGGCCTGAGAAAACCACCCATATAACGCAAGGGCCCTTCACCAGACCCTGAATTTCTCCTTGTCTTGTCTTGTTTTCCTCTTCCCTTCTCATCCCCTTTTTCCTTTCATGCTATGACTCTCTCTCTCTCTCTCTCTTTTTAAACAGTGCAAGCCTAAGAGCAGAGCCACAGAAACGTTTCCAGCAGGGGCATCAATGCTGTTTTTTAAAAAAATGTTGCAAAATATCCTGTGACAAAAAATACGGGACGATGCAGCTTTTCGTTCTGGTCCACCGAGGTTGACCTGAGGTGCCCGCCTCTCTGGGCCGGGCTTTGGGGAGAAAAATCGCCTTTTTTGGTACTACGCTGCAGAGTTATAGTCCAAAAAAGGCCATTCGCCTCCGCCTGCCTTTAGGGGCAGACACAGCCCACGACTCGCCAAGCCGCATTAATGGCCTCGAAACAAAAACTTTTTTTGGGGGGGGGGGAAGGCTCTTTGCCAAGAACCAATCCAGTGGGGAACGAACCTCTTGCAAAAACCACAATTGCAAATATCCTCCAATCGTTCCTCCCCTGAACCCACGGGGGCATGCGGCCATGCTGAGAAAACAAACAAACCAACCCAAAACAAGGGGGTGCAATAAATGCTGCCTCCTCCTCCCCCCGCATGATCTCACTGGAAGGTGCAAGAGGAGGAAGAAGAAAGGAGGGGGTGCCCGAATGCACCCCTTCACGGGAACAGACCTTCGAGGAAAGCCAAGCCATTGTGGGTTCCCTTTTTTTAAAAAAGGAACAAGCCGTTTTTTTTGGGAAGCCACACCCGGGGAGGTTGGCGGGGGGGGGAGAGAGCGCGAGGCGAAAATAAGAGGTTAAAGAACGAAAAAATGCCTTTAAAAGGCTGGCGGTCGGATAATTTTCTTTTCTGCCTTATATGTAGCTTCTTCTCGACCAAAGCAGTAGTGATGGAGGAAAAAGCAGTAAAGCGAGAAAGATGAGTCATCGAAACCGGGGTGGTGGTGGTGGCGGCTGCTTTTGGGGTTGGGGAAGGAGGGCCCTGTTTGCAAGGTGAGACACCCGCGCACGCCCCCCCATGACACACGCAGCAGGCATTTTTAAAAGCCCCACCTTAGCCCAACAGACGAAGCCGGAGCCACGGAAAGCAACCCTACGGCGGGAGGTTCTTTTTACAAGAACATTTATTTTATGGAAAAGCTGTTTCTGTGCCAACTTTTTCCTCCGGGCTGTCTTTTTGAGCAACATAAAACTCTTTGTGATCTTTTGCCTGGTCCAAGATTTCAAACCCCGGGGGGGGGAACAGCAGGGAGTCGTTCTCAACATCGTCTACTTAATCCTTTTAATAGGAAATGTCCAGGATAAACACTTCCTGTGTTGAAAGCAGGCTGGCTTTGCTATGGAGATGACGCTTCTCTTTCCCCTGCAAAGCCCACCTGGAAAGTTAAGATTCTAGACCTCAAGGAGGTTGGAACACAAATGGCAGAAGCGGTCTTCTAATGACTCTGACTTCTGATGAATCAAGGTCTATATTGTCAACACAGATGGCGGCAGCTCTCCAGGGGTTTCAGCTGGAAAGTGGGGGGGGGCACAGATTTACTACTAGTCCTACTTGGGGATCCCAGAGATTGAACCCGGAACTTTCTCCCTGCAAAGCAAGTGGAAACCTCACAGAGTTTGGGAACCTCCCTCCCAGTAGGAGCTACCACCCAACAGCAGACAGAGAGCACAGGTGCATTCCCCTAAGTTTTTTTTCTTTTCTAGATCTACATGTAGATTGATATTGTTAGACTTCTTTCCTGATTCTCTCTCTTCCTGCTTCTTCTTCCTCCTCCTCCTCCTAGCGCACAGCTATAGACTCACACACCTCCGCCCTAATGGTTGAGGAGCCCTCCACACAATCTGGTGTACCTTGAGGATCATTTCAGCCCGAGTCATGCCTTTCACCACAATCTTCGTATAGCTGGCAGGAGCCTTCCTCACGACCTGGGAGCCGATGGACGGCAAATCCAGGAGAACCATCTTCAGAGAATGGGTGTCCAGAAGCAGCTGCGACAGATTTTAAAAAGGCGCAGGTCAAGCTTCTCTTACGCTCTGATAGAGGCCTCCCAAAAATAAACTGAAATCATAATCTCTTCCCACACTCAAAAAACCCTGACATCTGATGCAACGTATTTCAGCGATACGGCCTTTTGACTTGCCTTTCTCATCCTTTACCCATAAATATGGGGCGGACCAGCCCACTCCCGTGCCGCTGGCTCTCTCCGCCTTTCTCACCTGCTCTGCGCCCACCATGCTGATCGGCTTGCACTTGAAGAGGTGATTAATAAATTTGGGGATGAAGGAGCTGCAGAGAAGATGGAAGAAATTAACACTGTGTTTTCTGCGCCAACGTCCAAACAGACCAAAAAACCCACACCAAAACCCCAAAGAAGTTTAAATGTTCCCACACCCGAAGAAATCTTCCCCAAAGGAACCAAGCACGGTTCCTTCCAACTCCCGTCGGACTGCAGCTCCCATCAGCCCCACGGGTGAAGGACGATGGGATCTGTAGACCAGAGACACACGCGACAGCCGCACGGAGCCCATCCAGGCTGAAAAGCGGCCCCAAACCTCCCTCGGTTCCAGCCGGCAGGAGGCAGATCTGGGTTTTCTGGACCACAGCGCCAAAGGGGGAAAGGCGACTCCCATCCTGGTGAAGGATGCTGGGAGTTGTAGTCCCAAAGCACACATCCGCACACACCGCTAGTCCCGTCCTCTACCGGATTGCCCCCCCTACCCCCGCATGGACACAAAAGTCTCCTCCCAGCAAGAGGGGGGCCCTGCGTGTGCGAATGCAAGGGCCCCTGCTCATTCCCCGGGGCCTTCCTCCCAAGGAAGCATCAGCTGGGCACCCGCCCGAAGGACCGTCCCGACGAGAGAGGGGCGCCCGAAGGCAGCCGGGGCGAGAGGGGCTCCTGACTCACTTGGCAAACTTGATGCAGAACTGGGTGAAATACTTCCGGGTGGAGGCCAGGTTCTCCCGGATGATGGGGACGTTTTGCTTTATGTGGAGGATGATGGAGGTGACGTACGGGCTCTGGTCCCCCACGTGCTCCACGTTCTGCCACTGCATCTGCCGGGAGCCGGAAAGATAGAAGTCAGAACCGTCATCGGTTCTCGGGGCTGTCGGCACCGAAAAGCCTCCCGGCCGGCTTAGCCAAGAGACCCTTTGCACTGGTCTGTGCCGTCACGTCGCCTCCGACCGAGGACGACCCTCTGGATGACGTCCCGCCCTCCGCAGCCCCGCTCAGCCCTTGCAAACGCAGGCCTGTGGCTTCCTCGAGGGAGCCCGTCCATCTCGTTGTTTGGTCTTCCTCTTTTCCTGCTCCTTTCCCCCTTGCCCGGCATGAGGGCTGCCCACCGTGCAGATTTCCAGAGAACCTGAGGCTTGAGGACTGCCAAGACTCTACCTTGCTCATGGCGGTGAGCGCCGGATCGCAGGCGGCGTCCAAATCCTGCACCAGAAGCTGGATGCTGTTGGAAATCACGCTGCAAAAGAAGAAGAAGGCGTTACTGGGTTTTCCCGTGACGGGGGGGGGCAGAGAGCATGTTCCCCCTATCTGCACATCTCCACCAAGAACCTGAGGCTTGAGGACTGCCAAGACTCTACCTTGCTCATGGCGGTGAGCGCCGGATCGCAGGCGGCGTCCAAATCCTGCACCAGAAGCTGGATGCTGTTGGAAATCACGCTGCAAAAGAAGAAGAAGGCGTTACTGGGTTTTCCCGTGACGGGGGGGGGCAGAGAGCATGTTCCCCCTATCTGCACATCTCCACCAAGGTGGGGTACTGGGTTTTCCCGTGACGGGGGGGGGGCAGAGAGCACATTCCCCCTATCTGCACATCTCCACCGAGGTGGGGTTCACTTTTACCCACCCTGTACAGTCCCCCAAACCCCCCTGCATTATTATACTCCCACGTTAAATTAGGACGAATAGCAACAGCCACAAAACAATGTAGATAAAAACAACAGCGATCGAGAAAATGAGTGATTACATTTTAAATGAATAATTAAATAGCTAATTGTTGATTTATTAGGAAAATTATAATTACTAATCACTATAGTCGAGTGTGAAATTAATGTCCGTGGTATCCACGGGGGATCAGTTCCAAGGCTCCCACCCACCCACCGTGGATGCTGAAAAATGCAGAAGTGGCTAACTCTGCGTATTCTATGGTCTCTGTCTCCCTCTAGTGGCCAGTTCTGGTAAATACACAACAGAAATACACAGAAATAGGTATTTCTGGGGGTGAGTTATTTAGTTTTTTTCAGTCAGCAGATAAGTGGAAGGCGATTTCAACACAAAATCTCCCCCTGCCAACAAGACACCACACACACACACACACACACACACACACACGGCTTCTTACGTACATGCTAAACGTATCCATCTCCCCCATCAGGTTGATGCGTTCCACGAGGCTGGCGTCCACTTTCTCCTTGAGTTTTTCCTCCAGCTGTTGGGAGCAAGAGAGATGTATGAAAAATCTGGATTTTTTTAAATTACTATTTTTGATCCTATAAGGTTCCAAACTGTCCACATGCCTGAAAGAAGGCAGGCCTTGGAATCCTCTCCCAGCCCGTCTAACCCGCTGACTGTATCCTTTCCTTCCTTGTGCTCCTTTGGGAGAACGTCCAAAATAGCGCTATGCGGTGTGCGAGGAGGGAAAGTCTGCTGTCCTCCGCCCCTCTGATCCAGAGGTCTCCTTCTTAGCCCCCGGGGGCCATTTGTCCCCATTTATAACGTTCTGGGAACCAGCGGGAACCTATCTTTGCGGTCCCCAGATGTTCTTGGACTACAACTCCCAGAAGCCTTCGCTACCCATAGGGGCTGGCCAGGATTTCTGGGATTTGTAGTCCAGGAATATCTGGGGAAGTAAGGTTGGGAACCACGGTGATAAAACTCTGCCATCCCGAGGCTTTCGCATCCCAAAAAACCACAGGGGATCCTGTCCCCACAGGGGGCCTTCCAGAGGTCCCGGAACCCCAATGGTCTTGGGAGGCTGCCGGTGGGCACTGTACCTGTTGAGTCGTCGCCAGGCAGTACTCCGCCGTGCTCAGGATGCTACAGATCAAGCAGAGTTCCTCCAGCGTGAACTTGGCCACCTCCGAGCCCTCTTTCTCTTTCAGCAAGCTGGTGATGGTCAGCCCTCCGCTGCTGCTGGTGGTCCTGGCAGGGGATTAGAACACAGAACCCCTTTCTTTGTGTAACAAGAGTAATTATGCGCAGTGTGCGCGCACGCACGCGCACACACAATTGAAAAGCCCACATCTTTGAACCTCTACGGCAACTTCGTCAATTAACGGATACCGATCCCTTGGATACAGAGGTCCTACTGCATTTTTGCTCCATCCCACGGACAAGATTTTATGCACATCCGAAATGTGTGAATTTCTCTGAACCTGCCTTTTCTTGCTTATCGGCTTTGTGCAGGGACTCCACCGTGCAAAATAGACCCTGGCATGTTTCAGTGACTTAAAAAGCCAGCCTGCATTTTTCCTTTTCTTTAAAATCTGGTGGCACCTAACACAACGCCCTTTCAGAGGTGTATTTCGGGGGCACCCTGTTGGGGGGAAACACAGCCCCCCCCCAGCCCACCAAAGGGTAGCAAGCTCTCCTTCATGACTGGCTGTCTAGGAGACAATGCAATGGGGCGGTTTATAGTTCGTTGCTTCTCAATCTGTTCTTCGTAAGGCTTTGGCCGAACTTTTTAAATACAACTTTCTTCATTCTCCTTTAAAATCTGAATAACAGACCGTTTTGGGCTTGTAAGATTGTGGTGGTTAACGATGTAAGCTGCTTTGGGTCCCCTTTTAGGAGAAAGGTGGGGTCAAATTATTTTAAATAAATAAGTCAGTCAGTCAGTCAGTGACTCAATCCAGCCAAATCCTTTTCTTTCTCTAAATGCTTTCATCCTGCTTCCTACAGAGCAATTTCCCCCTTCGAGTCTTCTAGTTTTCAAAAGAAAACAGACAAACGTTTTAAAATGAAGCAAATGGCCACAAAAGTTTTGTACGATTTTGACGCATCGCGTCAAGCCTCACTTTGGCAAGTTTCCGGAGAGAATTTTCCAGGCGTATTCGCGCAGGTACTTCTGGAAGATGGTGGTGAGGGCGATCATCGGCTCGCCGGTGCTGAGCTGTGAGCACTGGACCATGCACTTCTTATAATAGACAAAGAGATCGGCGCAGCTGGGCAGGACCGCCCCGCCTTCGTCCACGTTGGGTTTGGGGGGTCCCTGGGCTTTGAAATCCCCCACGAAACGGTCAATCAGCTCGCCCAGGTTTCTGGAAAGTCGAACGGGAAGCGAAAGAAAACAAACAAACAAACTCACGTTAGAGACAGCGAAACGGAACTAGGATGCTAAGAGTCAGAGGCAAAGGTGGACGGAAAGAGGGGGCCCCGTCCTTCAGCCGCCTCTCATCGCTCTCCTCCCTTGAAGCGAGAGAATAAAACATGATCCCAGCCACCTTTCATAAGGAGAGGTTTTAGTTTTTTTTAAAAATTACATTAGGACCGTATCTGCAGGACATTGGTTCTGAGCCTCTCCCACCGGCAGTGAATTTTTTTTTTAAACTCGCAATTCATTTTTTCTAGACTCACTTGTCTTGGGATTCGATGTAGACGTACAGGTGAGGTTCAAAACACTTGGAAATGATGCCGTGGAAGGGATTCTCCGGGGCTTTCGGCTTCTTGGGCTGGAGAATTAGGGAAAGAAAAAAAAAAGAGGGACAAATTAGCTTTAACGGACCCAAAAATCTCATAGTGCTGGGTCTGGAAGGCAGAAGCCACTGTCTGAGGCATTCAAAAGCTACCGAGTTATTTAAAAAGCTGATGGTTCAAAACACTTGGAAATGATGCCGTGGAAGGGATTCTCCGGGGCTTTCGGCTTCTTGGGCTGGAGAATTAGGGAAAGAAAAAAAAAAGAGGGACAAATTAGCTTTAACGGACCCAAAAATCTCATAGTGCTGGGTCTGGAAGGCAGAAGCCACTGTCTGAGGCATTCAAAAGCTACCGAGTTATTTAAAAAGCTGATAGCAGCTTTCGGCTTCTTGGGCTGGAGAATTAGGAAAGAAAAAAAAAGAGGCGCAAATTAGCTTTAACGGACCCAAAATTTCATAGTGCTGGACCTGGAAGGCAGAAGCCGCTGTCTGAGGCATTCAAAAGCCACTGAGTTATTTAAAAAGCTGCTAGCAAATAAGGATTATTATTTTTTTGCACACGATTGAGAAACACGTCTGAAACAGGCTTCGGCTTACTTTATCCACCTCCGCTTTTTCCGAAGGGGTGTCATCCCCCTCCGACGACGTGGTCTCGTCTTCCAGGAAGGGGTTGGTGGAGGCGAGAGGTGATTCGGCCTTCTTCTGCCAAGAGGACAGGGAAACAGATTTAAGAGGGCGAGCCGGAGACGCCCCCGATTTTTCTCCTCTCGTGGATAATCCCTCTAATAAACCTACTCTTCCCTGGAAAGCTCGACCCTTCCGGCTGGCCTTTGCAAAGCAGATCTGAGCTGCCGAGGGCAGGGGCAGCCCTGCCATAGGCTGGACTACAACTCCCATCAGCCTGGCCAAGGGTGAGGAATGCTGGGTCCTGTAGTCCAACATCCTCTGCGAGGGATCGCTTTTGGTTGACCCGATAAAATAATTTCTTTTTCTTCTCGGCTTTGTTCTGAGGGACTGGGGTTTTATTTAAAACTAGTGTTTTCGTTCTGATGTTCCCTAAGGATTTTAAAACAAAAATATCTTGAGGCCAGTCAAATCATAATTTTCTGGAGCGGGAGGCCCACTTCCTCCCTCTGGTTCGCTCGTCGCCCTCCAACCTACATGGGCTGCTTCCCCACTACCCCCCCGGACCCTTGCTCGTCGCGTGGGGGCGATCCGGATGTGCGCACATCATTGGGCGCAACCAGATCCCATGTCCCCAGATATTAACCATCATTTGGCCCCCAGGGCAAACTTGCTCCTTTCCTCCACAGGGAAAATCCCAGCACAAACCCAGATTCGAAAACCGGACAGGCATCCGGAGCCCGTCTTACCGCCACGGCGTCGGACAGGGTGGAGCCCGAAAAGCGCTTGGCGAGGAGGCCCTCGAAGTTGGTGGTCCTCTGGATGGCAAAAAGCAGCAGCTTCACCTCGATCTCTCTTGCCCGGGTGCGCATGATCTTGGCAAGCTCCGTCCTGAGAGGTGGGGAAGACCCGGAAGATGAAGATGGACGGGCCCCGGCAGGTCTCCCTGGGCAAAGATTTTACACAGACAAACAAAACACCAAAAACCCTCCTCCACCCCTTGAACACACACAGGCTCTGTAGCCAGATCTCTCAACCACTGAGCTATCCAGCCAGCTTGACAAAACCTGAAGAGTCACGAAGCACCTTGCTGGAAGTGTGTGCACGCTTGGAACTATGACTGTCACATCGATTCCTTTTGGAGTGTGATTTCCCAAGTTCACGAGGACCGGCCAAGATTTCCTTCCGGAATAAGGTCAACGGGAGGAGAGAGAGAGAGAGAGAGCGCCATGCAAGCGCCCGGCCACCTCTCGAGCCCGCACCTGGTGATGTGGCAGAAGCCGACCGCGATGTGCTCCGTCATACTCCACTCCGGGGGGAACGTGCGCCCGTACTTCTCCTCGTAGTCCACCAGCTGGCGTTTGATCCACGCATAACGGCGGTCAATTTTATCCAGCCAGGCGACCTGCGGGGGCGCAAACGGACACCGAGACAGAGCACCAAGGGGCTAGAGCGCTAAACAGGATAGAAACCTTTCGGTGGAAAATTCTCAGTTTTTTTTTTAAATGCCTAGAATACCCAAGCTGTCTGTGGGGTTCCAGGGTTCCAGCAGTGAGGGATGAGGCTGAGAAAAGCACTCGTTGGGATTGAACAGGGTGGTTCTCTTAGGCCCCGTCTCCTTGCAAAGCATAAACCACGGGAAAGGTATCTCTGGCCTTTTCTTAGGCAGACCCTGATGGACTACAACTCCCATCCTCCTCTAGCCAGCACAGCCAACCTTAGAAGTCCCTGGGAAGTGCAGGGCAGTTAACAACCAGGGAGTTTACTCGTGTCCTGTCCCCAACTCACATCTTGGTTTTCCTGGAAGAGGACCAAGTATTCTGAGAGGTGTTGCTTAACGAACTTCTTGATGATCTCCTGCTTGATTCGGGGGTCCAGGACATTGGCCACCAAACAGGCGTCCCGGAGAACGTTGGTGGGCCCTCCAGCCCTCTACCACGAGGGGAGAAAAAAGAAATAACAAACAAATTAAGAACCTTGATCATCCTGGTACTGTTTTTCACAAAAGGAGACTTGAAAGTAAGAATCTATCATCATTATTATTAAACCCTATAATTCAGGACAGAATGAGAGAGAGAGAGAAAGGGACGGTAAGACCCTCTCCTCTGTTGGTAATGTCAGTCTGCACCCAGCAGTTTTCACCTACATCAGGAACGGTTCCTTTGTAAAGCTAATGGCTCTTAGTTGCCCATGACAGATCAAAGCTCTGCGAAGCTTACAACAGTATACAGTACTGCTGCTGGGACAACCCACTCACCTCTCTCTCTCCCCCCTCCCAGAGGATTGTTGGTTGTTGAGCCCCACAGATCCCGACTGCAAACGAGACGCAGTGGAACGTTAGACCATGTTGCGCAAGCAGGTAAGAACTGGGAATTTATTTCTTTGTTCACCTTTGTGCCTTGGGAAGGAAACGCTTCTTCAAAGTCTGCCAGGATCTGCTGGCCCAGCTCATTCTGTGCCGCCTTCACCCTGTGGAAGAACAAACAAGGGGCGATGTAAGCACCTGAGACACAACTGCGGGCATCTGTGCAAAACAGCCTTGGTGGCTGCTCCTGGGCTGTGGAACTCCCCGCCACTGGAATCTGGGCAGAATCTCGCTCGTCCTTCCATGAGCAGGCAAAGAGCTTTATATCTGGGCAGTTTTTCAGCAACAGATTGGCTGTTTAGGGCAGTTCATCTTTGAAGTAAGAGTCTTACACAATGGATGTCCGAGTGCATGCGCTGTAGCGAAACAGCGCTAAACAGGGCAGCTCTCTGTGAAGGGTTATGTATTTCTTTAACTCAATTATTGCTTTTAAAAGAATTTAGGTTCTGCTAACCGCTCATTATCCTGCCTGCAAACATTCCTCATCATCCACTGATCTCTCGAAACCCTAAAAAGTAGGTTTCGTTCCTCCGGTTACCTTTCTGAAAGCTGGCGAATCTGTGGGATCCCCATGTACTTGTTGAAGTGTTCCAGAACATTGACGACGCCTTGAAGAAGATTGGCCACTTCCCCGTACTGCCTCTTCCGTGTCATGGCTCTGTTGTAACAGAGAATGGAAAGAAAGGACAGTTAGCGTGGCCATGGGGTACAGGCACTGACCGGCAGTTGCTCTTCCAGATCCTGGTCGAGGAAAACTGCGAGATGCCATGACGGGGGAGATCCTTTCCCCCATGCAATCTGAATTCTGCAGCTCAATTCTGCAACCTGCATTCAGCAAACATGTACACCTTAATTCTTTTTACATTTTAATACTTATGGGTAAATAATAAGCATGTCGAAGCCCTTTTACACATGGGAAAAGACTAGTTATCTAGTTTTCTGAGATTCTGCAGCCTGGATAATTTCTAGCACATCTGAGGACTAGAAACTTAACTCTTTTCCAAAATGAAAAACTGGGATTCAAAGGAAGCTGGTTTTCCTGGTAGCACACTTTGTGATTCTGCGGGTTGCCCCAGCACTGTGACATTTAACACACACACACCCCCAAACACCCTGTACCTACTCCAGGGAATCCACTCCACCGGCCAGCATGTGGAGGTGGTTCAGCGTCGTAATGGAGGTGGTCAGGTGGCGCTTGGCGTGATCCAGTTGCTTAATGTCACGTGTGATTTCTTTAACCTGTTCAGTTTTGTTTTTAAAAAAAGACACACACACAAACGTTGGATAGAGAAGAGTTCAAGAAAACGCAGATATGCATAATAGGTAATTTAGCTTCAGGAGTGGAAGTTTTTTTTATTATTTCTGGACTACAAGTTCCATAGTTCTTCATTCTGGGAATTCTACACCATACAGACATCTAAATGGTGCTCGCCTTGGAGGAAAGGCCTAAACTGGAAGGCTCTTCTACTAAAGCCAGGCCTGGGTGCATCCCGGCTTCCTCTTTCTGCCCCAGTGCTTGCTGGGAGTTTTCTTCCTGAACAGGAAGTTAGGCAGAACTAGGCCGAGCTAAAAGCCTCAAAGCCTTCCTGTTGAGGCCCTGACTCCCAGGCGAGCCGCATTTAGGTGTCTAATACAGTATGTGTAAGCCAGGCTCTGGGATTCAGAAAACGGTGGGGAAATAAAGTAACTTTTCCAACGCTGTCAGAATAAAAAAAAAAAAAAGACATACACACACACAAACGTTGGATAAAGAGTTCAAGAAAACGCAGATATGCATAATAGGTAATTTAGCTTTTGCTATAAACTCAGGATTTCTGGACTACAAGTTCCATAGTTCTTCATTCTGGGAATTCTACACCATACAGACATCTAAATGGTGCTCGCCTTGGAGGAAAGGCCTAAACTGGAAGGCTCTTCTACTAAAGCCAGGCCTGGGTGCATCCCGGCTTCCTCTTTCTGCCCCAGTGCTTGCTGGGAGTTTTCTTCCTGAACAGGAAGTTAGGCAGAACTAGGCCGAGCTAAAAGCCTCAAAGCCTTCCTGTTGAGGCCCTGACTCCCAGGCGAGCCGCATTTAGGTGTCTAATACAGTATGTGTAAGCCAGGCTCTGGGATTCAGAAAACGGTGGTGAAATAAAGTAACTTTTCCAACGCTGTACAAAGCTGTGTCTCAGTGTAGGTGTAATTATGGGACAAACAACGAGTGCCACTTCTCAATTATCGATTTGGGCATGATTCCAAAAAATTAAACACTCTTCTTGATAGAATTGGAGGGAGTCAAATTGGAAAGGGAATATTCCTGGAAAACCTTCACATAAGTTCCTTAAGAACAAAAGCTTAAACAATTGCTATTTTCCTATTTTAAATCAACGAGAGGTAGACGGGACGGCTTGGCAGGCCCTGTTTGGCCTTCTGGGGGGTTATCCCTCTCTGCTCTGGTGGCGTCCCTCGGTCCCACCAAATATCTGGCCTACAACTTTCATTGTCCCTACACGGCATGAGTCATGGCAGAGGATCATGGGCACTGTCGTCCAAAAAGGGTGATCGGATTTCTTCTCCACGCCCCGACCAGTAAGACTCTGCACCAAGGAAGCCCACACACTGGACTTACCATCTGCTCTGATTTTTCTGCTTTGTCTTTTATGTCTTTGATCTTGCTAAAAAGTTGCTGAATCGCCTTCTGGGCTTCTTCCAGAGCCTAACAAAAAGGAGGGAGGGAAGGAAATCAAATTCACCTTCCATTTTCAAGAGAAACAATGACTACAGACACATCCTAGTCATCTTTCTTCAAAGTCTAAGATAACAACTAAGCCTCTAGTCCTCATGGCAGAGAGAGGAACATTTTAGGAGTTTGATCGCTGTTGGAAGGGAAAAAAAACAGTTCAGTTATTAAACTTCTGCTGGATCTCTGGCTTCTCCTAAAATGAGGGTCACCTGTTCCTCTTGTGTCCCCCCCCCGGGGGGACCCTAAAAACGGCCTCCAGGAGACCAGAGAGCCTCCAGAGTTACAGGTTTGGTGCCTGGAGAACTGAAAAAGGAAAAGGAGCGAATCCGTCGGCACTGGATCCCAAAGCACACGGCTGGATCCACGCACCCTCTCCCTCTGCCTGGAGGGTCGTTAAGAGGATTAAAACAGGGGCAAGAGCTACGTAGAGCCTCTGGAGCGTTTGGAAGAAAAGGAATAACTTTGAGAAGTATACAAACTAATGGCAGCCGCACACAATTTCTGCCAAAAAAAGCCAAGCCTCTCTTTGGGAGGCTTTATCTGTGGCCGAGCAGGCCTTTCCAGCGGAGACCAGCACACCATAGTACAAGCTTGGGGGGGTGGGGAAGGAAAAATCTCCTTTTTTACCCTAAACGGCCTGGAATCCTGCAGCCACCGTGGCCGGCTTGGGGAGGGGAGGGGTGGTCCTCCAGGAGCGATAAACCGAGAAGCCTTCCTACTCATTTTTTCCTCTCCTGAGCTCCAAAGTGGCTTTTTGGGGGGGGAAACGCGCTGGATCGCAGCTTGAAACAGTAGCTGCCTAACTAAGGACCGGACTTCGCTTCTGGCTGCCAATGAAAATACGAACAGCCCAAACCAAGATCCCTCTTCCTGCGCCAGATCCAGCGAGGTCCCTTTCTCTTCTCCTTTTCCTAGAACTTGCTCGCTCGTGCTAGGAAGACAGCCTGGCAGAGATCCTGGTCCCATTTCAAGCCTCTTAAAACCTAATAAATCATCCAGAAGGAAAGGAATGGGGGGGGGAAACCACCCGTTTTCACACCCGCTGGGTTGGTGCTGCCGATCCAAATGTCGTTTTTTAGAGCTAATGTAAAAGACAGCGGGAGGACCCAGGACTGGAAATCTCCAGGCGCTGGCCAAGCACGACCCGCACCCCCGTCCCCATCACTGGCTGGGGAAAATGGGACCTGGGATCCAAGAACATCTGGAGAGAGGTATGCAGGTCCCCGGCCCCGGCTGTGGACAGGAGCTTGGCCAGCGCCGGCGCCAAGAACCACCGATTAAGAAAAGGAAAACGACAGGCTTAAGAAAGAAGAGAAACCAGAGGCCAAATCCAGAGCTCATCACGGCTGTGACTTCTGTTCGAGAAAGTGGTTCTTCAATTACTAGTATTGTTATTATTTGAAGGTTAATTTCATCTTTACGGAGCTTCCTGTTTTTCCTTCAAGCGCATTTCTGCAATCTAAGGGAGCAAGATATCCGTGTGCAGGGCCTGAGCGCCTTTCTGCAGGAGGCTTTCCGATGGATGAAACACACGGAACATCACATCCAGGATGAAACACAGAGAATCGGGGCTTTCGTTGGCGGTTCGTTAAGACAGGGAGGTGGGGCTTCCAGATGCAGTGGCAGTCTATCTCTGAAGAGCAAGTTACTGGAAAATCACAGCAGGTTTCCTCCTGAAAGCTGCTTCCTGCCCCTTTCTAGCATTAGAAGCAGTATACTTGGGGGACACAAATAAGTGAGTTGTTACCTATTTAGTTTTAACCAATAAATAATAAGGGCATTCATAGACACACACCCTGCTCTTTCCACTGTGCCAGACTTCCTTTCTCCACAATACCACAGCAGTACCACAGTTTAGCTGATTTAACACCACGTTGACCCATAGCAGTGTGGAAAATCACCACAACTGCTCCCAGATCCAGCTATAGAGACCCCAAACCCACAATATTAATGCTGCTGCCTGTTGGGGCCACCACTAAGAAGGCTTCGTATCTGAGATCTTGCTGCCTGTACCCTGGAGGTTAAAAGCTGGATCTGGGAGCAGTTGTGGTGAGGGGGGTGGTGGGAAGAACAGGAACACGCAGAGGGAACCTCAGGCTTGGAAAAAGCTCGGCAAGCCTCAGCCGGACAGGCTCTTTGAGACGAGAGAAAATGAAGGGAGAGCGAAGGGGCGGAAAAGAGAAGCGGTGTCAGGAGGCCAGCGGGAGAGCTTTTCAAACATCAGGACAAGCTGATCCCAAAAACAGCGGGATCTGATTTCCCAGCCTCTGCCAAGGCAGGAGAAAGACATCTAGAACTGACCTGGAAAAAATAATAATAATAATTAAAAAAACTTTGTTCTGCCTTGCAATTTCCTCGTCTGCAAAGCCGGTCTTTTCCCTTGTGTGTCTTCTTCTACAGCCCCCCGTGGAAAACAAGGCCAAGCCATACCACAATATTTTTTTTTCTAAGAAAAAGATCGGAAAGCAGGGGAGCCCAAAAAAACCTCCACTATTATAAACCTTTTCAACAAGTTTGGAAGGAAATCCCAGGACACCGCTCCTTGTTTGCTTCGTTTTTATTCCTTCTGCTACTAATAGGAAAAGCAAAACACGACAGATGCTTCAAGGTAAGGAATGTTATAGCAACTGGATCAGTCCTGGGGGTCTCTTATTTCGCCCCCTAAATATGGGGGACCTGCCAAAAATAATCTGTCCAGGATATTTTAACTTGATTTTCCCATCCGTCGAAGTCACAGTGAGTTTTCTGTCTGAAAGATGAGGAGCCCTCTAACAAAATCCAGAGGTGTGGCTAGAAGGGGAGGCGCCAGAAGGATGGGGTTTTGCTTTTGACATGCTCAGGAGCATTCTTGGTATGGGATGGCAAGCCTGGATCTCACCTGCTGAGTGAGCCCAGAGAAAACCTACAGGTGCACAGACAGGTCGGTTTCAATAGCCCGCTTTCCTGGCTGTAAGAAAGCAAAAGTGGCCACGGGGGATGATGGGACCTGGAGTCCACCAGAATATCAGGCTGGTGCAGAGTTAAGGAGGCGAGCTACCCTCCTCTACCAAAAAATTAAAAAATAAAATAAAAGGTCAACAGTAGGGCCGTGTACCTCCCGGCACAAGATTTTTAAGACCCTGTCATTCTGCAGAAAGGTACCCATATGGAGGCGATCCAACCAAGATTCTTTTATTTTTGGAAGTATAGTGAGCAACGCCTTGGAAGGGGGTGGAAGAAAATCAAACTCTCAGCCCCTTGGCAGCCTTGATTAATTAAGCTATAAAGCCTCAATTCTGCTTTTCCATCTCCTTGGAGAAGGAGAGGGGAGAAGGAGAAAGACAGAAAGAAATTTTAAAAATGAATTACAATTATATTTCAACGGGATTTCCTTTCCATCGGGCCTGCAAGGGAAGGAGAGGCGAATTTCCACTGGAAGCCACAAACCCGACGCTGCCAGTTTCCTGTGTAATACGACCCGCTCCTCCGTCTCCCTGCGCTGACCTATTAAGGATGGAGGGTGGAAAATCCTCGCATATTTGGTGGCTTTCTGC